ATCGAAACCACGACCGATGTGATCGACTAACGGGTAAGGTTTTCGTCGTTTACTCGCGTCATTTGAGTGAAACATCCCGAACGGTCCGAGTAGTCCCATGACATCAAAACAAAATGGCGAGACACCTTATTTTTTTTTGTTTTATTTTTTTCGCAATGGTTGCCCCCATTCCGAATCTCTTTTTAATTCAAGAACTATTAGAGGACGAAGAAGAAGAAGATTCCGAAACAACCGATCGAGAGACAGGCTTTTTTGTATAGGACGCCATTTTGTCACGTGACAAACCCTTTTACTCTCCGCTCAACGGGGAGTAAACGGGTTAGTCACGTGATGCGACTCGAGTCAGTCATGTGACCAACTCGATTCAAAACGCGAACGGTCTGGTGTCGACTCGAGTGAAAAACGAAAACCTTACCACGGGAGCTCGAAGCGCGACACTATAGTCCATCCCAACCCCTCAACTCGGTACAAGAAAAATCTCATCCTTAAATACCTGAATGCCGGAAAAAAGGGGTAGCAGCAGGTTTGTCTTAGCTTTAATTGCATATTGATCTGTTTGGTGTTACTTATTGATTAATAAAATGATTCAGCAATGATTTAACTGTATCTTCGGTTGCAGCGGTTATTGAATTGCCACAATTAGTCTATAAACAAAGTGGCTTGCGTTTGTGTCAATATTGGCTGGTTTTTTAAATTGATTTTTAGCCAGGGAGAGAGGTTCACTAGTCTGTGGATGCACTATTCCGCGGGTACACTAGTCCGCCGCTATAAAAATTATATAAATATGTGTATCAAAACAACAGCAGGTATGGTGGCTGATTGGTAACATGTCGCCCTTCATAAGGCGACATCACGACATTTTAACCCGACACCACAACATTTTAACCCGACATCACGAAATTTTAATCCGACAATACGATATTTTTACCCAGCACCACATTAAAAATGTCGTAACGTCGCATAAAAATGCCGTATTGTACTTGCAATCTTGTTGATTAATTCACATTGTATTATCTATCTATAACGTCAACCACTGCAGAGAAACATTATTTTGAGACTGCAACACAGACATGGTTCAATTTTATTTCCATAATTCACTTGTGCGTATGGGGTATTCAGCACAGAGAGAGAGAGAGAGAGAGTAAACACGTGGACCGGGAGAAAACTCCTTGTACTGTTGAAGCGGTCAATGGAAACAACGCCAATTGACTCAATGACAGACACCGTGGTTTCACGCGCACCACTAGACCACCCAACCCAATTTCTGGAACTGCAGGTCACGGAACACTGAAAATCGACACGGTTCATACGTTTATGAAACCTATGGTTAATATCCAAATTGAAAAACAAGTGTTAAAAAACTATTGCTTCTATCCACTTCACAAGGTTTTCGTAATGAACATCATACGCGGGGTGGCGGCAATATAAAGCATGTGAGATCTTTTATGTGCTAGTCAATGTGTACATGAGACCTCGGTTTTTGTCCTATCCGAACCGCTAGACAGCTGTTCTTATTTCGTTTAAACGAATTAGTTATTACATCATAGTGTATTAATTATTTCGTTATAACGAATTAATATTTCGTAAGGAATTATTAGTTCGTCATAACGAATTTATATTTCATCATAGTGAATTATTTCGTTATAACGAATTAATATTTGTTTAAAGGAATTAATAGTTCGTTATAACAAATTAATAGTTCATTATAATGAATTAATATTTCGCTTAAACGAATTAATATAATTAATAAATGATATAAGAGTGGAATCATGCACGAAAAAAATATGTAAGAGTGGAATCGTGCACTTAAGGGCTCCGTAAGTAACATTACAAGGAATGTGTGAGATGTTTTAGCGACTAAGGTCAAGCAAATAAAACACTATCGAGCTCGCTATGGATAAGGCAATGATTTCCAATATACGATCTTATTTACATTCAACTATTGATGTATTTTTCCATACAATTCTTATTTGTTAGAACTAAATTTATTGGGTCAACTATTGTTTATTGTATGTTATAAGATATGGTAACCACCTAGATGTCTGTGGATATTATTATCCATAGAACTGTGTCATGTTATGTTCAAATCGCTAAATTACATTTCAAGTTGACATTTAGATTTAAAAGTTTGTCAGTACCAGGCCCGCAATAATTTGGCCGGAAGTGTTCCTTTCTCCAGGTTATTGCACGCAAGTAACTATTCGGTTAGATACAATGACGTAACTGGAAGAGGCCTTATAACATAGAAGTGAGACTTCCAGAATGTAGCCTTTCAGAAAAAAAACCTACTATAGGCTACTCTATACTGATCGCGATTAGTTAACTGAACAGTCGATCTTTATTTCAGGCTCATCTCACTTCCGTTGTATCTATGGCAGATAAGGTAATTAAAAAACAGGATAGAGTTTTTCTCACACTCTTTCCGTGTGTCCTGTATCCAAATAATTCACTGATTATGGCCATTTAAAAAAAGCGGTTGCCATGCAAGATATTGAGTCAACTGGCGGGGTTTCGATTCTCCAGTTGTACGTGTTAAGGAGTAGGGTCGCCTGTCCAACCTCGTGGGTTTTCTCCGGGTCCTCCGGTTTCCTCCCACTGCTAAAGACCCCTACGTGCAAGCGAATTATTCAAATAAAATTGAAAAATGTGTTAGTCCTGAAATGACCTAGTTTGTGTCGAGTGGACGTTCAACCCCATTTCTTTCTCTCTCTCCCATGCAAGATACGCCCACATTGTGGGAGAAATGAATGGGGAAAAGGTAAAATCAACAGGGCTCATACTCCTAAGATAAGTTGATCCTTAACATGTTTGTTAAGTTTAATCTGAATGGGTTGTAGCCCCTGGAACCTCGCCTAAAGTCCTAGTATGGTAGCCCCACGCCCACATCCCAATCCCAATCATAAATTGATTCCGCCGGTCCAGAGTACTGACAGGTTGTAGAATGGTTTAACGACCAAGGTCAAAACGATATCGAGCTATAGCTCTGGACAACGATTTCTATTATATACGATCTTTTGTGTTACAACTAAATCAATTAGATTGGGTTTGGCGACCAAGGTCAAAACGATATCGAGCTATACATTTACAACGATTTACATTATACACGATCTTATTCATACCAAAATATTGAAGTGTCTGTCCTACAAATTCTTATTTGTTACTACTAAATCAATTGGATTTAGAATTAGTTTATTGTATCTTATTGAACATGGCAACCATATAGACTTAAATGTTAATTAGAATTGTAGGTTTGTCGCGGTTTCTCGGTGAGTAAGGCGCTGGCTAAGAGGATTCGGTTCCCTCCGGGTCTACAAAGTTTATCGGAATGTTCCGGCGTGGTTTCCCTTGTCAGTGGTACATGACGGAGAGTCTGGCAAGTACAGCTGTCTAGTCGTTCGGGTAGCCCGAAAAATCGTGGTGTAAACGTAAACGAACCATTGACAGTTGGAATTTCAACTAGCAAATTTCATGGCGTGGTTTCGATTCCCAGATTGTACGTGACAAGGAGTAGGGTGGCCAGTACAGCCTCGCGAGTTTTCCCCGGGTCCACGGATTTCCTCCAACTGCAAACGAATTATTGAAATAAAATTGAACCATATAGTAGTTCCAAAATGGCAGAGGGTGTCTAGTGGATGTTAAACTTTACCCCCTCCCCCTTCTTTCTCTCTCCCTCTTATCAGTACTGTGGGATTACAGGATGGTTTAACGAACTAGCTTAAGCAAGGCGATATCTAGTTTAAAATGGAAATGAAATGGGGTTTAACGTCCAACTGTTCTGCTCCGAATTGGGCTAATGAAGACGGGCATACGCCATACGGTGTGCTATGAGGAAAATTTTGCCCGGACAGCGGTATTACGGCCTACTCTTATATTGAATTTCAAATGTCAAGGGATCTTTTACGTGCTCGCCAATGTGTACACTGGACCTCAATTTTTCGTCCCATCCGAACGTCTAGACAGCTGTCTTTGCCAGGCCCTCCGTCCTGCCGGGAAATCTGAATGAATTTTCTCGGGTAATGCAGGGATCGAATACAGTTTAATATGGACAACGTGTCATGTTTTTAATTTGGCTGAGTATATAAATATAAATTTAATTATAATTAAAATTGTAGCTATAATTATTAAAATTGTAGTATAATTATTAAAATTGTAATTATAGTTACAGGTATTTATTGCATGTATATTATTTTAATAATCATGTATTATTATCAGGTATTTGTAGGGAGAAGAGCTTTGTAAGTGAATTCACTTGTCTCTCATCCCTTTGATGTTTTATGATCAATAAAATATGTTTTAATAAAAATATTCTTCAGATATATCAATAATGTATACTGAAACAGGGAGAAATGTTTACATATATAGCACTTTATACGTGCGCTTCGTGGAGCGTGCTGCATGCGTTCCAATATATGACTATTATATACTACTCACTGTTCGAAAGTTTAAAAAGGGCGAAATTTTTAATATATCATACACAAATTAATATATAAAAATACTTATATTTGGATGAAATAATCTGCATTTAAATAAATTTTACATTAGTGCCAAAGTCTTTTTTTATTAGGCCCGAAGACGCCGTAAGGCCGAAAGATCTTGGCACTAATGTAAAAGTTATTTAAATATAGATTTTTTCATCCACATATTAGTATTTTGTGGTATAGAAACCTGAGTGTTTGATTTGTTAAATCATTTAATTGCATAGTAAATGGTTATAGTGAAAGCTTCTATCGGGTGTTAGATATTAGAAATAAAGTTGTTTTTGGAAAACTAGGTTTTTGCGTGTACTTCCGGCTTTATTAAGCTTCTTCAGGCAAACTTTATCAATTCCAACAAATTGATGTGATGTCATTTATATTAAAGTAGATAAAGTACCCGTCCTTCTATGTTTACGATAAATAAATACATAAATGAAAAATACTTCCAGGTAAAAAAATTCACCACTTTAATACATTCTGATATACATTAAAAATACATTATGCAAGAGTTAAATCTGCCTATTGTTGGTGATTCCTTAGGCCTGAAATGTTATCTAACTTATTAATTAGACATTAATTAACATATCCAGACCATAATCAACTCTCGATGCCATCGCTAGCCTACGATGTTTATTGGATTAGGTTCCGATTAGCTGTTCGACTTCCATTCATGATTTAATCATGAAATGGATAATCAAGACTATATTTTTTTTATCCTACCGACTTTAAAAATGATGATCGAAAACTCAATCGCTACAATCTAGGTTTAGAGTGGATCAATTTGACTGAAATTTTCAGCAAATTCTCTTCACATTATCTAGTATTTAACTATTATAGTGAGAACTGCCAGCTCTTTATCTAATCTCCCCTAATGTATCTATAAATCACATAGGCTAGCTGTCTGTACTTTATAGGCGTCTTCAGGTATGAATAATGTAAAATATATATATAGGCCCACTGAGTATTTTAGATATGAAGACCTGCCACTGTTCTTGCTACATTTCAAGATTAGGTTAGGATTTTGCAAATAAAACCACATAAGGTACCGACCGAGACGAGCCGTGAAGTCGTATAATAAAATAAGCAAAGAGCACGAATACTCTGTCTCGTGCATGAAAGGGAAACATATGGTCCCCTGGGAGGAAAAGGTCACAAGTGACAAAACAGTTTATAATTTGACCCCTCCGGGTTATAGCAGACCATGGTGGCAATTACATTGATACAATCTGAAATATGGGAAAACACCGCGAGAAAAAGAAAAACCGAGACCGGTAGGTCTTTTTTCTGAAGTCTTTCTTGCTCAAGCATAACCGAAGTCGAGGAATTTATCTTGCTTATAAACCGTCTAGCTTTATATGAACGTAAAATGAGAATATCCCAGAATTCCTGTAAGAAACACCGTATATCATGTTTTCTTATGAGGAAAAAACTACCCTGGAAAGAATAACCCGTTACAGGTTTAAAGAAAAACTTTGAGACCGCAAGTTATTCCGGGAATAGAATATAAACCCCAAAGATCAAAGAGATATGCCGTTATGTATCGTTTAATGGCCGAGCGCGAGACATAAGTAATATATTGATACTGCACGAGGCGTTAGCTGAGTGTTGATTCAATATGTTACGCAATGTCTTTAGCTCGAGACGATTAAACAACTTAAAATACAGACACTATCCCGCGCGTGTTTTTCAATGAAATACGTCACGCGAGTCCGATATTTCATCTAGTATAGATAATGTACGGTTGGCAAGTTGCCCGTACATTATTGGAAATAATGGTACGAAAACATCAAAGGATGACGTCACATCTGTATTTTAAAGGTTTATAAGAGTGATTAATATTAGGTAGTAAGTGGGGAAATGGTAGTAAGTACACGGATAGCAGTGTAACAAGGTCGTAACGGACATATATATATCACTTTATTACTGCTTTCTTTGTAGCTTTAACTGAATATCACTAAAATCCGTTCGGCTGCCCAAGTTGTCCAGCCAGTGCCAGGTAGCCTCAAAATTACCACCATCTCTCTTTCCATGCACATTAGCTCGACTACAGACAGGGTTATCTAGATACCACCATCCACCAATAAAACGGGCTGGACAATCGTTATTACTGAAGTCCCGATCATAAGTCGAAAATGGTCGACCGTCGATGTTATATAAGCCGTTGGTCAAGGAATCCCCAGTGGGGTTTGCAGTATCATCTTTGAACAATTGGAGCGAGATTCGATAATCATCATCATATGTAGAGATGTCAAACAGCTGATAATAGCTTGTTTGATGCCCCGTCTGTCCAAAAATAACTATATTCAAGAAGAACTGGGGGTAATTTTGAAGAATGTCGTAAATGTTGGCAAGACCGAACCAATAATTGCCATATGATGTACCAAACCCATCGGAGTATTCTTTCCAGGTTTTGTTGTAGTCGACTTCCTGGCAACCTTGGAATCGGTATAGTAATATAGTATATCCACCCCATTTAAAGTCACATTTAACTTCCAGTATTCGTCCATCAGCTTTTGGTCGGATGTAAGACATCAGAGATTTTTCAGGTACTAGATTTTTTCGTATTCCATCCGAACAATCTGAAATTTTATGAACTTAGATTTATTTAATTTAAAACAAAAAAAAACGGGATCAAAGTCTAACAAATCTGGATAAAGCGAGGAAACCAACCCAGGGATCGAACCCGCGACCCCAGGCTAGCAAATCAGCATCTTATTCACTTAGGCACCGTGATTCCCATTTCAAGTTAAAACGTCTTGCACTACAGTTGAGAGGGGATTTTTGACGAATAAATCACCTCCCATTTCAGTTTATAATCTGCCTTGCTCTACTGCTGAGAGGGGATATTTAAAATACCTAATTCTGGATAATAATTAAATGATAGATAAAATGACATTTTTGTAGAAATTGGTAAATAAATAAAATATATTTAAAAATAATTCTCACCTTCAATCACGTGTTGACACTGATCACCATAGTAACCAATAGGACATCTTGTACATTTGGTCTCGCCACAAACGGATTTCTGAGGGGAAAATAAATAACGAAATAAAGGACTGAATTAAGAACGCGCAGTCAGCTTTGTGTGGATTTCAGAGTATTTAGATTGAATGTGAGTGGGTTTCTGAGAAATTTGGTTTCTGAGATGATAGATTAAACCCCACAACCGGGAATATGGGGTGTGCGATCGTAGATCTTATGTCTAAGGGCAGGAAATGAAATTAGAGCGTAGATTAATGAGGTTATAGGCATTCAAATAAGGGAGAAAATATCTGAGATTAAGGATTCAAACATCATGGTGGGTTAAAAATAACAGGAATACCAGTCTGTTGGGCTAGACACGCTTAGATGCAACTGAGTCACCAGCCTGGTGGAGTCGACACGCTTAGATGCAACTGCGTCACCAGCCTGGTGGAGTAGACACGCTTATATGCAACTGAGTCACCTGCCTGGTGGGTTAGACACGCTTAGATGCAACTGAGTCACTAGCCTGGTGGGTTAGACACGCTTAGATGCAACTGAGTCACCAGCCTGGTGGGTTAGACACGCTTAGATGCAACTGAGTCACCAGCCTGGTGGGCTAGACAAGCTTAGATGCAACTGAGTCACTAGCCTGGTGGGTTAGACACGCTTAGATGCAACTGAGTCACCAGTCTGGTGGGCTAGACACGCTTAGATGCAATTAAGTCACTAGCCTGGTGGGCTAGACACGCTTAGATGCAACTGAGTCACCAGCCTGGTGGGCTAGACACGCTTAGACACAACTGAGTCACCAGCCTGGTGGAGTAGACACGCTTAGATGCAATTGAGTCACTAGCCTGGTGGGTTAGATGAAACGTGCAGTCCCATGCAGCCTGGTGAGTCTATAGCAGTGATTCTCAACCAGAGTGCCGCGAAATTTTGAACGGCACCACATTAAGAAAATGTGCAAAACCACGTGATCATAATTGTGTCTTCACTGGTGTCTACTGATAAGTTCATAGCTGTGTTAATTTGTGTCTACGGCTGTATGCCGTCTATGACTTACCATGTTTTTATTTGGAAAAATTCAAATATTTTCATATATATTTAGCCAAGTGTGCCGCTATTTTTTCATGCGTTCCAAGTTGTGCCGTTGGCAAAAAAATAGGTTGAGAACCACTGGTCTATAGGCTTGGATACAACAGAGTCCTCTTGTTTTTAGGTCATAGGTACAAAACCAGAAGAATAGCTAAAATTCAATTCTGATAATTAGAATTGGATTAAGAGGGAAATGAAATATCATGCAGTGTGCTATGAGGGCAATTTAGCCCGGACACCGGTGGTACATCTACTGTTCTGTTCCGACCGGGCTAATAAAGACGGGTATACGGCATACAGTGTGCTATGGCGGAAAATGTGCTCAGACAGCGGCGCTACGGCCTACTCTTATATCAAATAAAAAAATGTCAAGGGATCTTTAAGTGCACACCAATGCGTACGCGGGACCTCGGATTTTTTCGTCCACTCCGAATGACTATACGTTGTCCCTGAATTAAGAAGGTAATTTACCTGTAAGTAACAGACCATGTTATGCACATCCTGTGATGAAATACAGTTTTCTCCGGATTCGTACAAAATGCACTCCTTAGATTCTTCGTCGAACATAAACCTGCGACATTCGTCAACAGACGAACAAAGTTTGGCGCAACTGAAGACCGAATGATCCGTTCTTTCCAGAAGCGTGTGGTGAAACGAAGCATATGAACACCCGATATTTTCTCTTTGAACCTTTGTCTGAATGTACGTTGACATTGAAATATCCGATGCTATCGCCGTGTAGAATACAATTTCTAAAACTCCAGGTAGCAACAACCAGTGTACCATGATCGCGGAGGCGCTAGAGGAATATAAATCCTCGAATCGACACGAGTCATTAAATATTGTGAAATATTGATGAGGTTAATCGATTATTGATTATTGCGTGCGAGTTTCTTATCTTGAAATTGAAGGACTGTTTCTACCGCTGTTAAATCTCGTTTTGAATTTCTTTATTGCTAATAATTAAAAATTATGATATTTTTAATATTCAAGTCCCAGTGCGCCAGAAGGTCCGTGAGAGAGGGAGAGAGATGGGGTTTAACGTCCACTCGACACAAACTAGGTCATTTTGGGACCAACATATAGTTAAATTCTATTTCAATAATTCGATTGCGCGTAGTGGTCTTTAGCAGTGTGAGGAAACCGGAGGGCAATCGAAACCACGCCAGTTAACTCAATGATCCAACGCGCACGCGCTAACCATTCGGTCATCCACCCCCTACCCCCACCTACCCAAACTAGTAATCATTTTCTTGTTTAAAGGAGAATATTGGTGTCAGTCATTATCACATATGTGTTAGAACTGGTTTAACACGTTCCAAATAAAATATAACCCGTACATTCACTTGTTTTTATTTATTCTATACTTAATAAAACATGGTAATGCATGGACTTTTTCTATATTTTTTCGTTTTCTCTTTTCTAGTGACAGTCAATTTCTGTTTTGAATTGTCGGATATCCTCTAACAGCCACTTTTGGTCTTCGAAGGAATTATTAGTCAGCAGAAATTTTGCCTGTGTATCTGTTATCACTCGTCACTTCAGTCAGTTATATAGAAGGATAACTCGTGTTTTCCTTTTGCGTTCGTCACTTCCGTTTGTTGACACCTTGATTACGCATCTGTCGTAGCAATGATCTCTGTGTTTAAATTATATTTAAATACATGTATTCCAAGAATCGGGATTTGAAACATCCAAGGACATTTCAGACTTTGGTTAAGGATGGAAGTCGTTCAGAGATCCCATGTACAAATTAGCGTTTACGTAAAAAAAACACTTGCCGGGAATTCGAATGAGAGTAGGCCGTACGGTAGCTGTCTGGGCTAAACAAAATTCCCTGAATAGCGCAATGCATGGCGTATACACACTTGTCTACGATATCACTCCGGTGGAAGCGGATGTTAAATAAAACAATTTCACACACGTATGCACGTCTTCATTGACTCAGTGAGATGGTAAGTACAAACTACATATTTCAAGCTAGCGCTTCAGTTCCATCGGAACCTCTTCAGGTTTTAATATTATGATAGCGTAATATTATGATGGAACTGAAAGCGCTAGCTTGAAATATGTAGTTTGTTTTCTTTTCCAATATCTTATTTATTTATATATCACCTGAGAGCTGTTTCCAGAACTTTTTGTGTATATATAATTGTGGTATAAGTGTCAAAATATTTCGAGACATTTATTTAGGGTGGGGCATCCTACTCTATGTCTATAGCTTTTCTTGTATTCATGTTTTTGTTGCCTTGTTTTCAAAACACAAAGTTTATGTATTGGGTTGCGAAATCAATAAAATCGAAATCAGAATTTTATATCTGATTTAGTTGCTATGTTATGGACGTTTCCTCCTAGTGATAGACTGGGTTACAATGTCAAAGCAGCATCCTTATGATTTTTGTAAATAAAAGGAAATCAAATATGGATTAACGTCCTATGAGTTTGCGCACCTATCATAATAGGGACCTTTCGCATCGATACGAACACGAAAACGTAATCGATTCGTGTGTACTTGTGACGTCAACTCGTAATGAGTGTTTGGCCGGTGAAAAACGTAACGCGTGTGGAGCTGGATTTACGTAGGTATGCAAAAATGTTTCTTGTCTCATATATTGAATTTTTCACCATTTTTCGAGGCTTTGTGTATATTGTTGATTGTGTAGAATTCGTAGAATGTGCTCAAAGGCAATATTCTGCTTGATTTGTTGTACATCTGCAAACAATTCGATTGAAAACTTTGTCTAAACAGAGAAGTTCAACGAGTGGTGGAAATTAACGCCATATATCTGGTTTCGTACGTCGGATTGCGAAACCGCGTTTTAGGGGATATGAAAACGTAAACGAACATATGTTCGTTTTGGTGTTCGTTTTCGTACCGATGCGAAATGTCCCTATTAATTAAGACGGGCATACGCCATATCGTGTGCTATGGGCGTATTTTGCCTGGACAGCGGCATTATCGATAAGACTTCGTCGTATTCTAACTTCATCGCATTCTAACTATAACGGGTGTTTGTCGAACTGATTGTTGTCACCATTTATATGATGACTATTTTCTAACATGAGCAAAGTAACAGAAGAGTAATTAATATATTGGTGGGCTAGAACCTTGCTCTGTCATGTTGCTAAGCAACACTGCCATATTGAATATTGGGAAAATTAAGGCCCCAGCACTGTTGAAAGCCTTTGTTGAAAACTGTTGATAAAAAGGAATGTTTTAAGTTTAGGAAAACTGAGTTTTGACCAAGTATACCATTCTCTTTTAGAATCAGGTTGAAGTTTTGTCGACAAACTGTAAAATATCAAATTGTTGAAAAGTTCGGCTATTAAATCTCAGTTATTTAACCCCTGACGGAGGCAGGTCCCTTTTGCCGTGGAATACCAGACAAAAAAAAATGTTTTCAAAGGAGATAACTACAATTAATAACACATAAAAATCCTTGTAATTAATAATTGTGTTTCCCGTCAATAAATACCAAAACCCGAAATACAAATCATTTCAATTACAAGCCTTTGGTGTAGGAAGATGTTCAGAGGGAGAGAAGCAGGAAGAAGAGGGAGAGAGCAGCCACGATCAACGTACTCCACATTATTTCCACTATGTAATTCTTACAGGGATGAGACCATCAGTAACAGTCACGTACTGAAAAGATATGGGGCCATCTATGGACCCGCAAACTGAAGGACTGAAGGGAGAGAGGGGGAATTGGGGTTTAACATCCACTCGACTAGGTCAATTCAGAAGTAACGCTTAGTTCAATTTTATTTGGATAATTCGCTTGCCTGTAGAGGTTTTTGGGAGTGGGAGTGGAGGGAGACCAGGACAAAACCCACGAGCGTATACCAGCGAACCTTTTCCTTGTCACTTAAAAGCTGGGAATCGAAAACACGCAACTTCACTCAACGACAGACTTTATGATCTTACGCCGCGCATGCGTTGAACCACTAGACCATCCATCCTGCCACGATGTCCTGGGACAAATTTGTGATCTTCCATTGTCCCGACAAACATGAACAACTTCAGGGATTAAAACCCTTAACCGGTCTACCTAATTCTGACGTCATGACGTCAAGTGTTCATGGTAAATAAAGGCTAAAGTGAAATATTTTGTATGCCTATTTGAAAAGACTACTACCGGATAATTATAAGTGCTAGATTCTTGACACCAATAAAAGAGATGAAGGGAATAAGTTGATCTATAATGTGCACTATTGTTTTCACCTCATTTTAAAATGCAAATTCAGTTAATTTGCATAATTAACGATGTTTTTCCCTTTTTTGAGGGGGTATTCTACTTCAAAAGGTGTTTCTTTGTTGTGTTTATCATTGTATATGTTTCTTAAAATACAGATCTATATTTCGTTTCGTTTTATTTAAACTTTCGATGGCCTACACTACATGAAGATCTGACAAGTTGTAGCGATAGGTCGAGTCAGAGGTCATACGAGCGGCTTTTGACCTATGACGTCATAGACATTTGAGAACCCAATCAACATTAATGTTTCTAGTTTATTACCGACAGTTTTGTGCAAAACACGACTAAAGCTCGCTGTAAAACACCCTTTCATTGGGTAATCCCTCACACCATCTAGAACACGTCAATGATAACAACTCTTCCAGATCCTAGTGTAGTAAAGACAAGTAAAACAAAATTTTGAACTATAAAAAACGAAACGAAAAAGGATCTGTGTTTTGATCAGATTAATTCTCTCTCATCTTTTTGAGGTAAAACAAACCTGGTTGAAGAAGAATTCAAGACATATGGGGTGGCATGTTCCTGAAGCAACGACTGCGAGTTTTACAACATCTGGACGTTGCTCTATTACTTCACAATTCTCGTACTTAGAGCTACGTTATCTACAGACACGTGAACAGTGGCGTCCAATCAGAGGTTGTGACATAGCGACCTCCACGGAAACCTTGACATTGAACGAACCTTGAACTTTGCAACTCGATTAAAAAAAACCAACATTATTCAGATCAGTAATTTTAAAATAAATTCAGTAATTTTATAAATTAAATTCAGTAATAATGCATTTGACAATTCAATGTTCATTTCAATCACCAATAAAATAAATTTATAGTTCAATAACGAATTTTATAGTCTTTTATTGTGTGACATCGTTCAAAACATTTATCAATGGACATAGCTTGATTACAACGTTTACAGTAGGTTTTCACTTGTTTTCGATTTCCAGTTTTCCTGTCCGAACAAACTATACAGTCAGGCTTATGGGTTTTATCCTCATAAAAGGCTGGGAAATGTGCCTTGGGTTTGTTGTAGCTGACCGATTGAATTTTTTATGCAAGAAGACTTTTACTAACAGCTATGCGGTAATCTTTACTGTTAAGTTTTTTCTCAGGGAAAGCCAGATTGTAGGTCACTTTAGCATTAGCTAATGCAACTTTAGTACAAAAGTGGGAAATGACACTATACGTCCTTCTTTTCATATGGGGATACTTATAATATGACATTACTTGATCTAGTCGATCAACACCACTCATGTATTTGTTGTAGTCATTTATTAAAGATGGTTTATTCATTTCACGATATCCGCCTTCGTGACTCTTAGCACGAATTCTTATCCAAAAGACGGAGTTGCCATGAACAGTAGATAAAGCTGACACACGTTTTACATCTTGCCAAGCAACTGCCAACAATTTATCATCTAATTCAAAAAGGCGTGGGGGTCACCTTTCTTCATTTTGGCTCTAAAATCTGGTATCTTTGGAAGATGTTTCCTATCGATGCGTACAGTACC